ACAGTATCCTTCTCTTACTTTTAGCACTTTGCTAGAAATTTTTAAAAAATTAAACATTCTTGATCAATTTAACTTTTTCTTTTACTTTATATTTATATTCCAAGGTAATTTAATGTGTCACACATACACAAGTTGATTTAAAAAAAAAAAAAAAAAAAACATTCCATGTAAATATTTTTATCAGCTTTGAACCAGGAAATTCTGAGTGTTCAATTAGCCCAACTTTATTGTTACAGCATTAACTAAAGGTTGTTTTTATTGATTTTTTTTTAAAAAAAACTCAATAATTTATCACATTTTTTAGTTTTCCTTCTAATAGTTCCACATCTTTCTCACCAATATTTTTGTTTCACTACCTACTCTCCATCCCATGGACATATACGTAAGTTCTTTAAAATGTTCCATCTTCTGTAAAATGGAATAATTTCGGTGTCCTCATTAATGAGTTGATGTGAGCATGACTGATTTGCACATAGTATATGTTCAATAAATTGTGTAAACTGATATTATTGCTCATCAATATTTGTTCTTAATATTTACTTCTGAAAATTCTCAATATTCATTCATATTTTAACTTTTAAATAGACTAGTTTTGTTAGTTCTCTACTGCTGTTATAATAAGTTACCACAAATTTAGTGGTTTAAAACAACATAAATGTACTATGTTCTGGAGGCCAGAATTAGTTTTATTAAACTAATATCAATTGGCAGGGTTTCAGTCCTTTCTGAAGGTCCTAGAGAGGAACCTATATGCTTACCTTGTTCAGCTTCAGAGACACTTGTATTTTGTTTTTAGTAACTCAAAGTTTGTACTTATTTCCCTTCACCTTTTTTACCCATCCCAGTACCCTTCTCTCCTTTGGCAGCTATCAATTTATTCTCTATTTCTATGAGTCTGTTTTTTGTTTTGTTTTGAATGTTTTTTTAGGTTCCACATATAAGTGAAATCGTATGGCATTTGCCTTTCTCTGTGTTATTTCACTTAGCATAATATTCTTTAGGTCCATTCATGTTGTTGCAAATGGCAAGATTTCACTTTTTTCTTTTTTTACAGCTGAGTAATATTGCATTGTATGCATATACCACATCTTCTTTATCCATTCATCTATCAATTGTCCATATGTTAGCTATCCTATATAATAAAGATGTACTATGCAAATGATCATTATGCCTTGATGAATAATGACCAACCACGTAACGACTGGATCACAGATCAGCAGGAGGGTGGGGCAGTGAGCTACAAGCGGGCAGTAGAGAACTATAGGAGGGGGCAGAGCAGCAAGCTATAGTGGGGGGGAGCTCCAGGAGGGCGGGGCAGCGGGCAGAGAGCTACTGGAAAGTAGCATCAAACTACTGGCGCATGTATTCGTGCACAAAGCTACTAGTTGTAAATATTGCTACAATAAAATAGAGGTGCATATATCTTTTCAAATTACTGTTTTCATTTTCTTCAGATAAATGCCCAGAAGTGAAATTGCTGTGTTATATGGTAGTTCTGTTTTTAATTTTTTGAGAAATCTCCATACTACTTTCCATAATGGCCATACCAATTTATAATCCCAGCAAAAAACTACAGTATGCTTCAGTTAAACCACTCTGTCTCACTTGAAGTGGATGACATCTAACAGCAAGCCACATGTGCAACAGACACAAACAAGGGAGGGGTCCATGGACCCAGATGCCACAGGCATTGAGAACAGTTCCAAGGGAGAGATGAGAGACATGGGCTGGGAGGTCTGGAAAAGCCTGTTGAAATGAAGGCTCATTTTGCATCCTCCCCAACTAAGGGATAAAGAGCCAAAGCAGCAGTCCCTCTCCTGCAGAGTAGGCAGGAATCCAGACCAGCAGGTAACATCTTTCCTGGCGTCAGACGAGTATTACCTTGGCCACATTAGCCATAACCTTGCAAAAGGTAGTGAGTCTAGCGCTAATTTCTTATTAAGCTGACAAGAGGCATGAAGAGACACACATGTTTCCAGGAATGTACTACACTTTTACAGTATTTTTGTTTTCTCTTGCAAATCAATTGGAAGCTAGGAGGTATTCCAGCATCTCTTTTTCTGCAGAGTTCCCAATTTGTTTCATTATCTCCCGCCCAGTACCTCCACCAGACTGAGACGCAATTGCAAAAGATGTAGAATGGAAAAATTAATATTTTCTACAGACGTCCTCATCTTGGGTAGATTTATGAATTCCGCTTCTGTTATGCAGAAGTTAGCATTTTTAACAATAGGTGGGGGGGGGGGGGGAATATCCTTAATTGTTTTTTTACTGCCTCAAGAGCGCCAAAGACATCTTGTGCTATGTCATCATTTACATTTCACGTTAAATGCAGAATGTTTGAAACAAGCAAATATTTATTTTAATTTGATACATCTGTTAACTGAAACGCTAAAAAGACAGATCCCTCACTATATTAAATTCAGCAATTTGTAAACAATTTATATGTTCATTTGTTCTGGTTATAAATGCCCCAAAGCTTATGTTTTATGAAACCCACAAAGTAAATGGCATTGTATTAATCTGATGTATGCAGGCCATGATTTATTCCTCTTCACTCCATTAATTTATTCCTAACTTGAGTTAATTAGCGAGGTTCCTATTTTTAAAAGCTCTTTAAATTCCCTGAGAGAGGAGCACATTTGCAAGAACTGCTTTGAAACCCTATTGCAGAGGAAATGGGATAAATACAAATGGTAAAGTTTCCCCAGACATTATCACACATTGAGCACCTGATTGCCATTCAACCACCTTTATGCGGAGAATACAGTGGGCGATGCATACATAGCTGTTATAAGAAAGAGGGAGAGAACCAGAAGAAAGGAACAAGAGCAGCAGCGAGAACAAACTCTTTCCAGGAGATTCCTATTTGCATGAGATATCTTCAAGGGCCTATTCACCTTTAAATAAAAAACATTCTGATTTTAGGCTACAAAATGGAGATTGATTTTAACTTGAAACAAGAGATATCCATTCAGAGAAATATAAAAAATCACAGTGTTTGGTCCAATAGATAAATTAATTATTTTCCTTAGTCAAATGCAGCCTTAATATTCTTAATTAGAACAGTAGACAGTGCCCTGAACTAAAATAAATGAAGGGAGGGAGAGAGAGAGAAAAGAAGGAAGGGAAGAAGGGGAAATTCATTCATATTCAAGTATAAATTACTGAGAAAAGTTTAAGGTATGCCTAACGGCAGTAGTTGGCAAACTTCAGGTCCCAGGCCACATGCGGCTCTTTGGCCCCTTGAGTGTGGCTCTTCCACAAAATACTACGTGCAGGCACACACGTACAGTGCAATTGAAACTTCATAGTCCGTGTGCAGAAGTAGGTTTTCGGCTCTCAAAAGAAATTTAAATCATTGTATTGTTGATATTTGGCTCTGCTGACTAATGAGTTTGCCCACCACTGCCTACGGGTGTTTGAGGGAAGGGAGAACTAGTCTTTCAACAGATGTTCAAGCTTTAAGCAAATGCAATGCTCGTTCCATCCTAGAATATTTGGGTAGCAGCGGGTGGATGGAAGAGATTGAGTTGGGTCGGTGCCCTTCCTTCGCCAAAGTCACCCACTTGCTTCCAGAAAGGCTGGTCCTGAGAGGCAGCAGCACCACCAGCCCAATCTAGGCAGCTCCTTCCCTGTGAAATCCCTGCTCTATTTCACTTTTCTGCCACCAGTCATTTCCCTGCCCTGAGAAGCACGTTGAAAATTTAGAGCTGTGTTTACGTGCATTGGAACTAGGACTTTAAGCCTCTAATTCTATGAAATGGAAAAGCATCAGCCACACAACACAGCTCCTGATACAGAGGCATCCCCACACTGCAAGCTCCCTCCTCTCATTTCCACAGGCACCAAGTAAGTCAGCTGTGGGGCACGCCAAAAGCCAGAGGCAGCAGGGGACAAGACCAGGTGCGTTCCATTCTCCTCAATGGCCTTCAAATTTTCTTTCATGTCTAAGGCCTGGTTCTGGAACCTGTTGCCCAAGTTCCCCTCACCAAAACAAACAGCACCGAGATTTATGCCTCCTCCTGGCGCCACACTGAACAGGGGAGAGGGGACAGAGAGAAGCATGTGTTCCATCAACTCCCCCTTGACTCACACTCACACACACATGTGTTTTCTTGTTTCTGCTTTTTTTAAAAAGTGTTTTTTTCAAACCTTTGCTAGCACAAACTTTTTGTGTCTCCATGAAAGCCTGACTCCCAGAGGGCAGACACCAGGCCTCACTTTTGAAGGCGTGGGGGTCTGCAGATGGGGGCCCTTCTTTCCTGACCCAAGGGCCTAACTTTAAATATCTGCATCACAACAAAAGTTTGAAAAACAAAGAGTTGCTCTCTATGGAAATCAAGTGTTTTGGCTGATCAATCAAGTCCCAGGACGCTGTGAGGCCAGATTTCCTGGATCAGACAGACAGACAGGCACAGGCGGCTGGCTGCCTTGTTTCTCTGCTCCGGGGAGAACAGACCCACCGCGGCGGCACCGCAAGCCCACCCTGGGGAGCGCTGGGCTCAGAGCCGGGCTTCCGAAGACCCCTAGGAGATCACCCCGGGAGTGACAGCAGCCTGCAGTGTTTCCCTGGCAGCCTTGCTTCTCCACAGGAGAAAAGGGCAAACAAATCTAACCACCTGAGGAGGGGTCTCCAGAGAAAAGAGGGGCAAGATCAGAATGCTCTGTTACCTCTGCAAACTCGGTCCCTTTCTGAGGCCTGGCACCTGTCCTGCATCACCTCATTCGACGCCCACATTTGTCTGTATTATCATCCCCCTTTTCCCCAAGATACACTGCAACTGGCTGGATGACCCAGAGGCGCTGCTCCGGGCTATCCCTCATCCTCTGACTCCTGATCTAGTGCTCTTAATTCCCACAACACAGAGAAGAAATATCCAGAGACTCAGAGCAATGCCTCTTTGGCCTCCAGAACTTAAGTTTACACTTTTAAGACCAGATTTGCAGTTAAGAAGAACCCAAGGAGGGAGGAGGTTGGGACTGCCCCCAGGACTCACTCAGGAAGAGGATGGTCTGCCTGCGGGCCGCCCTGCTCTCCTCGCTCTCAGACTTGCGCAGCTCCGCCTGCTGCCCCCTGGCGGCCAGTGTGCCCTGCTTGCTCCCCCGCAGCACCTGCATCATGTTCCAGCACATGAAGGCCACAGCCACCAGCACCACGAGGTAGACCACGAAGGCGCCGAAGATGCTGGACTGGAACACGGGCCAGCGGCCGGCGAGGTTGGTGCAGATGGACATGTTGGAGGCCTGGGGCCGCTCGTGGTGGCGGGTGAGCGTGCGGTTGCAGGCGAGGCCGCTGCGGGGGTGGCTGTGCCCGGGCGCCAGCGGGTACTCCACGCCCATGGCGAAGAGCAGGGGCAGGGCCACCAGGGCCGAGGTGACCCAGACGAAGGCGATCAGCAGCTTCACCTGGCAGGGCCCGGACACGGCCTTGTAGCGGAAGGGGTGGCAGATGGCCACGTAGCGCTCGAAGCTGAGCGTGAGCACGTGCAGCAGCGTGGCGTAGCTGCAGGCCTCGAAGAGGAAGTTGTGCAGCTTGCAGGACAGCGCGTGGCCCGGCGTGGTGAGCGGGTTCCAGATGATGCTGTAGAACTCCATGGGCATGCCCACCACGAAGACCAGGATGTCGGAGCAGGCCAGGCTCACCATGTGGTCCGTGACCGCCTTCTGCAGGTAGCCCTTCCGCTGCAGCAGCTGCGTGGCGCGGATGGTGACGCTGTTGCCCAGGAGGCCCAGCGCGCAGATGAGCAGGTTCACCAGGATGAGGGTGATTTTGATCCAGAGGGCCACCTCGAACTCGGGGACGTGGCTGTGATCGATGATGTGGGAGCAGTCGTCGCCGGGAGGGCCGCCGGGGGGAGCCATCGGGAAGGGATGGGAGACCGTGTCCAGGTCCCTGCTCTCCGCGGACCCGGTCCCTGGCCGCGCTCGGCGGCGCCGGCGCCCGCTGACCTGGGAAGGTAACTTAGTTCAGGTGCTCTCAGGGAACTTCCTGGAGCGGCTCCGGGCGCCTGGGGGTGGAGTTTGGAGAGGAAGGCGGTGCTGATCTGGGCCCGCAGCCCCCAGCGCGCCCGCCCGTCCTCCTGCTGGGGCCCGGCGCCCGGCCTGCAGCCCCCGGTCCCTCCGCCGCCCGCACTCGCCCGCCCAGCGCGGCCTCCTCCGGGAGCTCCCTCTGGGCCGCGGCGGCCGGGGGTCGGCGGTAAATCATTAACCACGGCCGGCTGCTCCGCGCCCCGGCTTGACTCAGCTCCCAGGCATGGTCCCCGACATCAGATCTGGCTCCGGGCTCCACCTCCCCGCCGCCCACGCGGCCGCCCGGAGACAGCGCCCGCCGCCCCGACGGCACCCCGAGGCGCGCCCCCGGGAAGTGGGCACCCCAGGAGGCGCCCCCGGGGAAGGTGGAGTAAGTGCGCTCCGGGACTGGAGTCCGGGACTTCGGCCGGAAAGAAACTTCCCTCTCCCGCCCTGGCCCGCTGCCTGAGCCGCTCCGGGGCTCCTTCCCAGGCGGGGCCCGCCTGCTGGGGAGCCCGGACCCTGGCTCTGGCCTCCGTCACAGGCCAGTTGGCCGGGCTGCGGGCGCTCGCCTCCTCGGAGCCCTGCCTCTGCCTGCGGCCCTGGGGGTACTGCCGTGAATGAGGGAGCTGTGCGCTGCCTGGAGCCTCTGATCTGAAGCTGTGGGCCCCAAGCGCTTGGAGGTGGATTGGAGGGGCGCCACCTGACCTTCCTGGGGAGGGGCTGGCGGAGCGCAGGTGCCTTTCAGTGCTGCTCAGAGGAAGACTCTAATTGGGGGCGAGTGTGAGGGGGGGTGGAGGTGGGGGTGAGGGTAAGGGTGAGGGTGAGGGAGGGGGTGAGGGTGAGATGGGAGTAAGGGTGGAGGTGAGGGTAAGGGTAAGGGTGAGGGAGGGGGTGAGGGTGGGGCTGGGAGTGAGGGTGGGGGTGAGGGTGGGGGTGAGTGTGAGGATAAGGGTGGGGGTGAGGGTGAGAGTGGGGGTGAGGGTGAGGGTGGGGGTGAGGGTGAGGGAGGGGTTGAGGGTGAGTTTGAGGGTGAGAGTAGGGATGGGAGTGAGGGTTAGAGTGGGGGTGGGGGGGAGGGTGGGGGTAAATGTGAAGGTTGGGGTGAGTGTGAGGATGAGGGTGGGGTGGGGGTGAGGGTTAGGGTGGGGGTGAGGGTGAATTTGAGGGTGAGGGAGAGGGTAGAGATGGGGTGAGGGTCGGGGTGAGGGTAGGGATGGGGGTGAGGGTGGGGGTGAGGGTTGGGGTGGGAGTGAGGGTTAGGGTGGGAGTGAGGGTTGGGGTGGGGGTGAGGGTTAGGGTGGGAGTGAGGATGAGGGTGGGGTGAGGGTTGGGGTGGGAGTGAGGGTTAGGGTAGGGGTGAGGGTTAGGGATGAGGGTGAGGGTGCCACACCAGCAGGGCAGGGTTGCTGCTGGTGGAAATCCATCCTAGTCCTCAGGAGGGGGCTACAGCCAGGATGTAGAGGACAGCAGGAGGCAGCTGTGGGCAGTGGGGACAGGGCCACCGAGTGAAAATGACCTTAAGGATCATGACATTTTACATCTCTTCAGAGAGAGAGATCTCAAATGGATGCATTTTCATCTTCTAATTCCAAATTCAGAGGAAGGGGAGGGGGGGGGATCCTATGCACTGTAGAATGTTTAACACATACATGTCCCCAACCCCTCACCCACCCCATCCCCACCCCAGTTATAGCCAAACGCCTCTGATAGAGCAAAGCGGCCCCAGATGGAGAACCACTGCCTTGAGGAAGAAAATAGACTCGCTTGGTCTGGCCATGCACGCTCCTGTACTGGCTCTGTGCTAAAAGCACTTACATCATCCACCCGCCCCACTGATGTGGCCATTTGAAGGAAGAAGACACTGTGGTGTCCAGAGAACAGGTGCTGCCCCAAGGCCATAGCGATGAGAGACTTGAAATTAACCCAGATCCCTCAACTCCTGAGTGTGGACTCTAACCAGAGGGACTTCTGGGAGCGCAGTGGGGGCTCAGAATGAGCTCTGAGAGATGCTTATGAAGAAGGAGGGACTCAGTTTTCTGGCCCCATTGCTAGGCACATGGTCTGAGGACCTCGGGGAATATTTAATTGTGACACTGTCTCAGGTGAAAAAAATATCCTTTCTCATTTAGTTTTCTCTGTTACGTTATAAGCTCCAAGGCCAAGAACTGCATCTTCTCACGCTGACCCCTCCACAGCACCCTAGTGTTTTACCAGGAGCCCTTCTCCATGCTCATCCGTGCCATTTGGCCCGTTTGCTGGCTGGGGAACTCCTAGCCCATTTCCCTGCTGCTGCAATGTGCTTAGCTAAAGGACCTCAAGAGCCACATACCTGTCCCTCAGAGCTCACGGGGGAAGCATGGGCTCTCGAGGCTTCATAACTGCAGAGTAGCATCCTGAGTGGACTCCTGTGCAAAGACCGTGGTTCTTTGCTGTCCCAGAGCTATTGAGAAGGTGGTCTAGGAAGACACACACCCAGCCCGCCTCCCCCTCATACATACACATGAAGTGATCCCTGCCCATTTCTTTCTTTTCAATAGGAAACAGCAAGAAACCTCATAAGGATTCCTCAGCCCAGCCATACAGCCTTCCTTCAAAATCCTCCTGGTCATTTATGGAGCCCCTGTTATATGCCAAGCGATTTCACATAATTCATTTCTTTCAATCCTCAGAAGGCTGCAAAGTGGACATTATTATTCCATTTTACAGATGCAGAAACTGAGGATCAGGGGGATTAAATGACCTGCCATCAGGGTCAGAGGCAGGATTCTCCCCTGGCACTAAAACACTTTCCACACCTGCCTGACACCTCTCTGCAGGGCAGGACTGTGCCAGGCTGAACAGTGGCCTGGAGAGGGGAATTACTTTTAAGTCACCAGCCCTGATGCTTCTCCTCCCCAGCTGCAGCATGTGTTATCTGCAATATATTTGGTAGTTTCAATTTGTTCTGCTCAGACAAGATTCCCATTTTTGTCCAATTTCTTTCATCACATTTCCCCCCCACAGTGTGAACAAAGATTACAAATGCATGGCCAAACAGTGCGAATCAAGCTAATTAAAATTCACTCCTTACAGAGGAGCTGGAAAAGGCATTTTGAACAAAGGTCCAGAAGAATTAAATTTTCATTTCACCTTTGCTTATCCTAAGACCAATTAAAAACTATTTAATGTGCTCTCATTTGTTGATAACAGACTGGTATAACACCAGGCCTGGGTCTGTGTAATCTAGATTTTTTTAATTAGCATATCGGACAGAGGAAAGAAAGAATAGTAATTAAAAGTGAGAGGAAAGATTGCGTTAGGTATCCTTTTATTTCAGCTCTACTCAGGGGTCACTGTAGGGCCGACACAAATTCATATTCATAATTTACCCATTCCAGGTGACCTTCGAGGTCATTGAGGCTAAAGGTTTTCATACACTTTCCAGCACTGAAATTCATCTTAAAATTAAATCTACACTGGCACCCGAAGTAAAAGAAAATTTAAAAATACACACATATTGTCCTGGCCAGTATTGGAACACCAGCCCACACACAGAAGTGTCTCGGTTTAATTCTCAGTCAAGGACAGGTACATGGGTTCCAGATTCAATCCCACGCCTCTGTGAGGATCCTGTGGGAGGAAATCAATTGATGTGTCATTCTTACATCTCTCTTTCTCTCTCTATGCATTAAGCTACAAAGAAAAATAATATTCAAAAATTATAAACAGTATAGATAACTTTATTTATAATTCCAAATAACTAAAAGTTAATAGCAGAAGCAGGAAACTGAAACATAAAACTTTACCACATCAATATTTTTTTAAATCTCTGGGACAATTATTGGTCAAAGAGAAAAAACTCCAAAATATCTTGAGAATAAAGACCACAAAAATACTGCATATCAGAATTATTAAGAAATAACTAAAGGAGTACTCAGAAAAGGTTCATTGCCCTAAATGTTTATTCTAGTAAATAAGAACAAATACAAATAAAGTTACAAAAAATACAATTAAGTAAAACAAGAAGGGATTAATTAAGGTGAAGTTAAATATGAAAGAATCAAATAGAACTAATAAACCCCAAAGCATATTTTTTAAAGTAGGTCTTCTGATCATTAAGAATAACTAGCGGAAGTTGTATTACAAAGCCACTGTTCTCAAAACTGCCTGGTACTAGCACAAGAACAGACATATAGACTAATGGAATAGAATAGAGAAGTCAGAAATCGACCCAAACCACTATGCTCAAGTAATATTTGACAAAGGAGGCAAGAACATACAGTGGAGTCAAGATAATCTCTTCAATAAATGGTGTTGGGAAAATTAGTCAGATACATGTAAAAAAAAAAATGAAACTAGATCACCAACTTACACCATATACAAAAATAAACTCAAAATGGATATAGGACTTAAACAGGAAACCATAAAAGTACTAGAGGAATCCACAGCCAACAAAATCTCAGATGTATGCTGAAGCAATATCTTCACTGATACCACTCCTAGGGCAATGGGAACTGAAGAGAAAATAAACAAATGGGACTACATCAAAATTAAAAGCTTTTGCACAGCAAAATAAACCATCAACAAAACAATAAGAAAGCCCACTGCATGGGAGAACATATTTGCCAATGTTATCATCAACTAGGGTTTAAACTCCAACATTTACAGGGAACTCATACAACTAACAAAGGAAGATAACCCAATCAAAAAATGGGTAACGGACCTAAGTAGATACTTTTCGAAAGAAAACATAAGGAAGGCCAAGAGACAGGTTGAGAACCACTAGCAGGGTCGCCTAAGACCATCTGGAAACACAGATATTTACATTAAGATTCATAACAGTAGCAAAATTATAATTATTAAGTAGCAATGAAAATAATTTTATGGTTGGGGGTCACCACAACATGAGGAACTGTATTAAAGTGTTGCAGCATTAGAAAGGTCGAGAACCACTGCCTTAATGGAAGGACTGAACTAGTTGCAGAGTTAAGGCTACTCTGGACCTGCCTTAAAGAAGTATTGATCTAAGCTATATAATAGGGAGCTGCAAGCCATATTATTTCTACTGGAAATATAGCCAGTCCAAACTGAGATGTGTTGTAAGATGTGTTGTAAGTATTATACTTACATCATTCTAATGTCTTTGTGTGATAAAGAATGTAAATGTAATAGTTTTTATATATTGATTTCATGTTGAAATGATAATATTTGGCTATATGGGGTTAAATAAAAATACATTACTAAGCACAATTTCTTTTTACTTTTTAAGATGAGCCTAATGGAATATTTTAATTTGTATGTGACTTGCATTTGTGGCTCACATGGTATTTCTATGAGACAGTGATACTACAAACAAGCTGATAATGAAA